TATATATATATATATCGTCAAACAGAGCTGCCCGGTAAACCGTAGGCAGAGAGGGAGAAGAGGATAACAAACGAAGGGTTATATATGTATATATACAAATCTTTCTTTGTTTCGTGGGTGTTTTGCTGGCTGTGATGGGGTGTGAACCGAGAGTTTGTAGAGTTTTCCATCTGGTGTGGGTGTCTGCTTTGATTTTTGTCACAGATACCTTGAGGGCAGTGGTTGGTGCCCATTTTAGGGTATCAGTTGTTGGGCAGTCGTTGATGCTTAACCACAACCGGGGTTAAGGTGGATTGTCACTTACAGTGTAATCAGTTAGGGGATTCTGCAGACTGTTGAGGGTTCAGCCTCTTGATGAGTCGGTGAAACTCTGGCGCGAAATAGTTTGTCACAACCCTCTTCTCCCTCTTTGCCTACGGTTTACGGGGCACCTCCGTTTGACAATATGTATATACAACCCCTTCTTCATTACCGGCGCCTGTCACACCTATCACAGTCTCTTCTTCATTACCTGTGTCTGTCGCACCTGCGTCTGTCGCACCTGCGTCCTCGTGAGTCTTAGTAACCCCTTCCATGTCGTTTGTGACCCTGGCTGCCGCTTTTCAGCTCGTAGTCTCTTCCTCATCGGCCTTGGTTGCTTCTACGATTGATTCCGCGGGAGCAACTCGACCCACAACTGTTGTGTCGCCCTTGGTCCCAGTGTGTTCCTCCACGACATCTGTGGCCACCGCAACTGCTGTGTCGCCCTTGGTCTCAGTGTGTTCCTCCATGGCATCCGTGGCCGTGCTTGCATTACCACCTGCAGAGTCCCCCCTTCAGGTCTCACCTACGACTGCCCACCCTGACTCTGCTTCAGCCACTTTACCACCCTTGACTTCATCACCCATGACTTCATCCCCCCCATCTTCACCACCTTTATTTCCCCTGGTTTTATCTCGGTCTGTTACCCACCTTCCGACTAATCTACCACCCCTGTCTTCACCACTCCTACCTCCCCTGCTTTTGTCTCCATCCGTTACCCCTCTTCCTAATCCACAAACCACTTCGTCCACACAGAGACTCCGTCGTCATGTTCTGCCCCTGCAGAAAGCCTACTTTGCCATCCTAGACGCCGGCTTCGGCTTACTCCCCAACCTCAGCGTAGTCTCCTTTCCTCCATCTCTGTTCGTGGACGAAGAAGAACCCGTTCATTCTCCCCACTACGGCCCTCCCCAACATCTCGTCCCTGTCTTTTGCCGCCCCAAGCATCCGTACCACGACTGCGATGCTCTTCGAGTGCAGACCTTTCTGCAATGCGGCAAACACAAAATAGGAGTGATGATGGCGAGGGACCCATCTTAGGATGAACTTGGCAAGGGGACTATAGGAGATTCTGTAGAAAATCAGCCTGACCAGCCTCCACCGAATCTGTGTGGCCTCGTTGCTACTAACGTCTGTCTACAAGCCTATCGTCGGGAACCATATACTCACTCTGATTTCTTGGCTATTGCTTCCGGTTTTGATGCTCAAGAACGTGAGTTATATATGGCAATACCCCGACTCTGCATCCCCCGTAGGATAGTAATTACACTCGACATGGGGATTCAATGTCTCTGTTTTGGAGACTGCTTTGATAAGGCGCCGACTTGATATGCAGCGTGCCCCTTCGGGTGGCGACCCGGACCACTGTTCGCACGTTTGTGCCTATATTCTACATGCTCATGGCCACTACACCGCTTTTGTTTGGTTCTTGGGAATTATGGAATGACGGTGCTATGGTGCAAACTATTACTGCCATCTGTAATCTCGTGCGTAATTACCCTAACCTGCAACTGTTCCAGGTCATTGACCCTATGGGTACCTTGTGTACTTCCATGCCCACCTCTACGCCTATCTTTGTGCCTGCCTCCATACCTGTCTCTGTGCCTGTTTCTGTGTCCGTCTCCTTCCATATTATTGACCCTATGGGTACTTCGTGTACTCCCGTCCCCACCTCTACACCTGTCTCTGTGCTTGCCTCCACACGTGTCTCCATGCCCGTTTCTGTGTCTGTCTCCGTGCTTACCTCCATGTCTGCCACCGTGCCTCCTTTAGTCCTCATTCCCCCACATGCTGCACTAACACCTTGTGCCCTCCTTGGTGAGATCACTGACACAATTACACTTGGTTGTGGAAAGCATTGACTTTGTTGACATCACTACAACCGTATAATTTTTCGGGCCCATTGTTGGCAAGGATGCCACCTGTATCCGGATTGTGAACATCCTCTACATCCTGATGCAGTA